TCGGTGGCCACTGACCGCATCAAAATCGATCGAATCGGTCGAGTGACTGAATCGCGGCCGAACGGTGTTCCAAAAGTATTCGGTCGAGTCGAACTCTTTTGGCGGATGAAACCGTTGTTTTGGCATCGTTCGGCGTCACAAAGCCTCAATAATCAAAATACCTGCGACTGAATTGATTAATTGGTCACTGATAGGCGTGGCTATAGGTCGGTGTTGGAAAGATCGGAGGATACAACGGATCTGTATGCCTATAGCCGAGCTGACGAGTGATTTAAATAAGAAAACGGATTCGCCTTATGATAATAATAATTTCACCGACAGAAATTACTAAAAAAAAAAAAAAAACCGAACCGATATTTGATTCGAATTGTCTAAACGACCGCAAATTCCTATCTCTGTACCTAACACGTGCGCGAACCCTTTCGAAACTTTTTAATACCCGCGGTATACCATCAGGGACGGAGCGGCCGATCTGAAAATGGGAATTTTCCAGATGGCCTGCAGGATCGTGTTGTGGTCTGGTGCCCTGATATTTGTATTTATAATATACGTTTACTTTATTCGTGTTATATAAAAACCCAGTGAACATTATTGCCAAGACTTGTACATATTGTATTCTTATTTCGGTTTTTTTCCACATTACCTCTCGTCCGAAACGTTAAAACGTGTATTATTAATTACGAAATAACACTTCGAAAATTTGTTTAGGGAGCAAAACTCCTCTATCTCTTGTTATCTTCGGCCATGTCCCAAGTAAAAACGTATCACAAACACTTCTCGATTTCGGATCCCGGTTTCGCCACTAGTCCGAATTGAAACGCGAGGAAAATTTGGCTTTCGGTCTGTAAACGTATTTGATCGGACGGCCTTGATAAATTTCAACCTCCCGGCCTGAATCCGGTTCCCACTCTATACCCGCCTTGCATACCGTAAACGAATGCGGATTACCCGTCCGGGGGTGAATTTGTACCAGGCGATATTATCCGCTTTATGTCGGTAAACGACATAAACGACTTTTCATTTTTTTTAGGATTCTGAGCGTGGCGCGGGAACTTTGGTTTTACTAAAATGTTTATTTCTTTTTTTCTTTGTTCTAGTCTGTGGACACGTTTTTTTCCTAGTAAACTTGCTCCGATGATTTTTACGTGTAGCAAATTTTCTGAAAGCTAAAGTTGTCTAGTTGGTACTTTAGAGTTGTGATTTTTTGATATTCGACGCCATTTTTTAAATAAAATCACTGAAGTGGAAAAAAAACGTAGAAAAACGTATAATTTCACGATTTCATTATATTGTAAAAACACGGACGACGACGTTTTCTACCAGGAAAAATGATTTAATCGAATCTTCACAAGATACCATTTTTGTTGCTTTTTTATTTACTTTCTTACGGTAACAATACCAAAACTTTTTTTGCATTACCGAACTGCGCTCGGAATCGTCTTTCGTCAAGCAATGGTGTATCGTTGCTTACAGACGTAAATTAAATAACCCTGTGCACACTACTTTCCCAAATTCTCATCTACAACAGTGGCCGCTCCCGTCTCCAGTATCAGCTCTTTTTTTTTTTTTAGACCCGATGACGCATCGATAGACAGAAGGTTAAAATCATATAGATCGGTCGATCGAATCGGTTCGTGGAAATTCGACGTTCAGGATTGTTTATGAATTATTTATACGCATATCGGGGGGGGGGTTATTTATAGGCGCGTCGAGTTTACCGAGTCTGTAAAAAATAATATAAAAAAAAAAATACAGAAAAAAAGATCAATGCTATCCGCAGTGATATAGTATAATATTATATAAATTCGGGTCTTTTCGCGTTAGCATTTATATTGAGTTTACGGATTTGCGGGCGCCGCGAAGCGAAATGCAATTCCTTTTTTGCCGTAAAGTATATATATATATAAACTCGATAATGCGGACTCCGGGGAGAAAAAACCTGATAGTTTTTTTTTTTTTTTTTTCTAAGAAATCGACTTTATTACGACTATACGACGACGGTGCGGGTGTTACTATAAATATATATTATATATTGTACGTGTATATTATTATTTGTTGCGTCTGTTAACAAATTTTCACGTAAACTTTTATCATTTTTTCAGAGTGAAACTATTTGGCGCTTATTGGCGAGGTCGGTTTTCGGTTTTCCTCGTAGTTTTCCATAATTTAGCGAACAACCGTCGGCAAAACGGGACAGTTTACACGCTGACTATATTGTCCCTAGTGTTTTTAATTTCGTTTTTTTAGAAACCCGAAATTATCGTAGAATATTTATTATAATATATAAACAAATTTTCTGAAAAAAAAAAACCTTTTTGACATTTCGAGACCGTTTAAAGAAATTATTGAATTTTTTCATTTTTTCATTTTTTTTTTTTTTTTTTTTTTTTTTTTTTTATTTTGTTGTACGAGAATGAAATTATTTCGGTTCTGCGAAAATTCTGACAATTTAACACGAAATTCGTTATAATATTGTACGTTGTATTTAAAATAAAACCCCCGAGAAGTCGAGCGTGTTTTTATTTTTTTTTTTTTAAGCGTTTATATTCGAATTTCAACGAAATTTGTAAAAATCACGACCACACCGCGTAAAATATTATAATTATATATTGATACCTACGCACAATATACGTCATATACGTATTTTGTTATGCAATAATAACACTCGACCGACCACAGGAATGTTGCCCAACGGCAATGAAAAATAACGGGTTAAAAAATGTAAATTAAAAACAAAAAAAATCGGAAGTCCAGTGACGATGAAAATACAGAAGTAGTCGGTCAATTCCAAATGAGAACACTCAAAAAAGATAATATATAAGATATGGTGTTAACATCATATCCTGTAAAGTGCCTTACTATAAAAAATCATTTGGTCAAAAATTCGTGGACTACCACCTTGTTCCAAAATAATATAACTCTTTACCGTTAATACTTATGAAAAATATTATAAAGGAAATGCAGACTGTTGTTTCAGTTGTTTTTTTTTTTCCTTACTAATAAATTTCATTATTTCGTCTTTATTTTTCTTTTCCTTTTTTTCTATTATTATTATCTAAGCTATATTTTGTATATTTGCTCTTTGCCTTAAACACAAGCAGTTGCTTAAAAAAATGTAGGTACTCATTTCCACTTAAAAATATTTTTGTACTTGAAATGTTTTTGTGGCTTGAATTTAATGAAAAAAAAAAAAAAGAAAGATTTTTTGCGATATCGGTGGCGCACGGTTTTATTATTTTTATTTTTCACATAGTGAAACGGCGCGAAATTCGATACTTTTTATCAAAATAAAATTGCCAATTTAATATGAAATATTGTAAAATTCGTAGGTAAATTATTTTTAATTCAATCTATGAATATAGCAAAATTAATAACGTAACTGTAGAGTTTCTTCGTCTCTTATCGGAAACGCCCTACGGAAATGTAAAATATAAATCGCAGTGTTGTTATACAATGCGTGTCCCACCGTGTTCGACGGATTTTTTTAGCGCTGTTAATATTAGGTTTTTTAATTTTTTTTTATTTTGTTAATCTGTTTGTCTTCGAAGGGGACATTGATTTAGAGAAAAATTAAATTTTGTTTATCATCCCCTAAACATTAAAAAAAAAAAAATAATAATAATAATAATAATTTTATTTATTCACTTAAGAAAATTTTCTAAGTATCCATTTTGTAAAAAATATCATTCTAAACATTTTAATGTTTCGCACACTCCTATTCGATTAATATTTCTTATCGCAAAATGTGTTATTTTATTAAACATTAATTATTTCCACGCCTAATTAAAACGGCTATGACTAAGAAATTTGTCATCGGATGTGAAAATGTGTGATGCATTAAAATGTTTTGAATAATATTTTTTAACATAATGGCTCTTTTGAAAATTTTCTCAAGTGAATAAATGAAGTATTTTTTGTGTGTGTGTGTGTGTGTTTAGGGAATGAAAATAACAATTAAAAGGTTCTGATCGATTCCAAATCGACGTTCCCCTCGATAAAACACCTATTGAAAAAAAAAAATGTAATATTAACAGCGCTAGAAAAACCGTCGAACACGGTGGGACGGACAAGCTGTATAATATTGTCAGATTTAATATTCGGGGTACTATTTTTATGCGATTGACAAAAAAAATTAAAAAAAAATTAGAGAGAATTCGGTACAGCCTACACTCATAATAAAAAGTAGCAATTATCGTAGGGAACTCTTTTTTTTTTTTTTACTTTCTTTCTTTCAGAAATGTAATGGAAGCTAAATTCGAAAGCAATGATTTCCGACCATTGCGAAAATGCGATCGGTGGAAACGAGAATTGCGTTTATATAGGTGGACGTGTGCGTGCGATGATGTTATATTAGGGATAATTATGTGTACATTACGGTAACGGATATAATATACTTATAAGAGCGCGGTCACAGCCGTGCGGATCAAGAAGGGTGGGAAATAGGTGAGGAAAAGATCGTGTCGACAGAAGGGGAAAAGCCGGGATATTATGTGTTATGGTCGCGAGAGTTTTTGTACGACAGATAACTGCCGGAGACCGGGAAACGGAGGGACGGCCGAGAGTGGCCGTAAAGAGGTTATATTTTACACGAGGGGCGAGACATGGAGAATGGAGCGTACGCATTAAACAGATATTGTAAAGTTGCGGAAACGGCGACGCGGCCGAGTATAGGATATTACAAACGGGAGAAGTCGGATAGCTACAGGAAGAAATGATATTACAATAATAGTATGACGGTGATAAAAAAAAGAAAATAATTATAATAATACAAAAATAAATAATAACAAAAAAATAACAAATACAAAAATAAAAAAAAAAAAATCGAATACAAAATTAATTTCTAAACATTTCGACAAAAATTCGCGTGTACACAAAGTATCGCTTAAGCGTAACATACAATACAATACAATATACAATTATACATGTTCACATCGTTATAGCTAATATTATTACGTAATTAAAACTAATGTCGAACGTGGCGATGGCCGAACAGTCGATATTCGTTCGTTCTTGGCATTCACCGCGTGCCTTATGAATTGTTAATTATCGCACATAATGGCACGACAGTGAAAGCGAGGACCGAACTGAGACTGAAAACCGGTGAAAAATCGCAGTCCCGACAACATCGTCGTCGAGACACGCGACATTTTTTACAAAATATCCGTTCCGACGCGATTATCGTCGGTTGGAACGCGTTGGAATTCCTACGAGACGAATTGACGACAAATCGTTCGCCAACAACGACAAGGTGGAAGGAGCCTAAAACGAGTACGCGCGTCTCCGGTCGGACCGGAAACGATGATTTCGCGTGCGCCTACTACGGCGCGGAGAGTAGTCCCGGCGAGGGCCCCGATTGAACGTTCGCAACGCTGAAAAAAATCCAATTGATAAAAATATTACAACAATTGTTACGATGCGAAAAAATTAAAAATAATAATTGTTCGTAACGACATGTACAACGGTGAACGGTTACCGAAGCGCGGAAATCGTAATTTTTCGAAAACGTCCGATCGGTGTCGCCGAGCGTGTACAAAATATTATTGTTTGTAACAACAACGATAATTTTCGTTGGCGATACGGCGGACAGAGTCGTGCGTACGCGCGTCGCCGCGACCGCGGTCGCGAGCGGGCACGTGCGTCACCCACAGTGTCCGCGCGTACACTGAACTGCTGAGCCGGGAGAGCATCCGGAGACTGCGGTAGCGGCCGGCCGTGCGAGGATCGCTGCTGGAGGAGCGGACCCTCGGAGCGACCGTGCCGACGCCGGAGTCCCGAAAGTTTGTGACGGCCGTCGGGACCGCGATCGCCGTCGTCGATGTCGCCGGCGCGTCGCCCGGCGTCGGTGTCGGCGTCGCCGGCGCGGTCACACCCCCGCGACAGCCACCCAACGCCCAGTTTTCGGGCTCCGGAGGCGTCCAACTGGCTGCGCGTGCCGCAACCCTCGGCCGCCGCGGCGGGCCGGCGGTGAGGCACGACGCTCGCAACCCTCGCGCCGCGCCGCGCCGCCGCCGTCGCCGCGCTCGCGCTACCGGGGAGACAGCCGCGCGCCGGCGCAGCTGCCGGAAACATCGCCGCTCTTGGCCCGCTGCGGACGACGCTCGTTTTCCTCCCTTCCGTCAATTCAGCCCTTCTCTCCCGCATTCTCTCACTCTCACTCTCTCTCTCTCTCTCTCTCTCTCTCTCTCTCTCTCTCTCTCTCTATTTTCCTATTTTCTCTGTATGCCTACACGCGTATACGGGCAAGCCGCCCGCTCTGCGTCACAGACGTCTCCGCTCAATCCGAGTTCCCTGCGTTCGCCCAATTAAAATTAAAATAAATACCTACGTGCGCGTACGACTCGCCCGGCGCAATCGCCGCGAATTCGACCCCCCTCCCCGCCGCCGCCGCCGCCTCCTACCACCCGCCGCCGACGCGGGTACCGTCGGGGATCGGCCACCGCGGCCCGAACGCCGGCGCTCGTCCGCCCGGCCGTAACCCTCTCCGTCCGCCCGGCCGTAACCCTCTCCGCCCCCGTCCCTCACGCATTGCCGCCGCCGCGATCGTCGGCGCAGCGCCCCCGCGCGATACCGTCCGGCAATTCGTCGTTACTCGTAAATTATAGCAACCGATCGGACTTGTAGTAAATCGATCACAGCCGTTTTATTCATTTGTTTTCGGGCGGCAGGTTCAGGGGAGGTTCAGGATGTACGCTCGAAAGTTTGAACCGGGTCGGGTTTTTGACCGGTGAAACTATTCTGTTGATACGGACAATTTATCAACGTCGGGTTTTCCGGATAAATATTATTATCTTAAATTTCGAAGCGCGTTTTACTATTTTAGATTCGGAGCACAGCGATGTCTATTGGTTTTTCTATGATGCGCGTGTAGTTTTTTTTTCCTGTCTGTGAACGATTTCTCTACCAGAAGACTCGCACCGAAGTGTAGACTAATTTTTTATTATTGATTAAAGATTTTACGGATTACGTTTTTCACATAAGCTAATTGAGCAAAACCGCAAAAAACCGTAGAAATAACGGGGAATTGTATGAAAGTTATATTTGAACTATTTATTCACGTAGTTTTTATTTGATGGATACTCTGTAGATAAATCGTTAGACTTAACAGAAACGTTAGAAAATTTGATTGGAGGTTCATTATAAGTCATACTTAGTGGTCGAAAAAAAATTAGTTTAATGTGTTTTATTATGAATTTGAAACGTTTTGACGACAAACCGTAAATATTTACGACGCGCAATGCCGTTACCGATTCCATTGCTTTTATTTTTTGCAAACTATGTTTTCTATGAGAAATTTTTTTTTATTAAAAAAATGACTGGAGACCCTAATCGTTGGATTTCGGATTCAGTTGCCCACGAAGTAAATCGGTTTTCGATCTTCCTAGCAATTGTCGTAAAAACCGGATAAAACCGGGAAAAGCGAAAAACAAAAACTTAAAAATGTACGGCGTTACGATTTCATTGTTTTAAATTGATATACGCTTGGTCCAACGGCCGAAACAATTAGAAAAAAATAACCGGTGTCACAGTATTTTTATACCCACCGTATAGTTATTACCACAGTGGACGAGAACGGCCAAAAGCAGGTGATACTATATTACTTTTAATTTAATCAAATATCTGTGTGGAACTTTTCTACCAGAAATATTGCCAGATTTACAAGTGTAGCACTTTTTCTACAAGAAAATCCGACTGGGGTGGATATTTTAAGGAAGTCGTTTATCGATTTTCCCAGAAGCATTCTCAATATATTGGAAAAAAACCCGAAAAAAAGGAGGGAAAACAAGACGAACGGTACAAATATGTACAATATTAAACGAATATTATTAAAGTTAATGTTTAACGCATATGTAATTATTTCACCATACTGTATAACACATATTTTGTTGACAAAGCAACACTGTCATCCGAACTCCGCTCAGAATCGTTTTTCCGTGAGCAATGGTTTATTGTTACTTACAGATATACATTAAATTCCCGTCTATATTCTACCTTCCTAACTTCTCACCTACAACAGCGGCGGCACCTACACGGGAAGTATAGCCGTCTTTTTTTTTTTTCTAATTTACCTAAATTTCGTACATTTTCTCGCTCTTCCTCCGTTTTTTCTCAGTTTTTCCCATTTATCGGGAAACTCTTGACAAAATCAAAAAATGACCTCTCTAATGTACCTCCACAGTCAGACTACATTTCGGAAAATGCGCTATCATTGTAAATCGAAGCGAGATTGCTGGTTAGAGAAGTTGTCCCCAGAAAAAAAAAATTTAAAAAAACAACACCATTGGAAAACCAATACATTTCCTCGCTCCACTTACAATCAAAAAGGGGAAATTATATTTGAGATTCGCGTAGGTACGCAAAATAATGGTACGTTTTCGATCGAACGGCTATACACATTATATATGCATGTATAATAATACAGTATATACAGAGTGTTTATTTTAACGCGAACCATCGGTTATATTATTAACTACGGAAATACAATAAGCGAATCGTAAACAATTGTCTTATTCACGATTTTATCGGATTTTATCCTGATCTGCTATTGGTTTTAACATACAGCAAATTTTAATGTTTTTTTTTTTTTTTCAAACAAGAAATTTATTATCCTTGGTAATATTATGTTCCCCCGGAACTGTTTTATAACACCCTCATAAACGATATGAAAATGTATTCGCTTATCGACGTTTTTTTTTTTTGGAAATATGATATTCTCTATTTTCGAATCCCCGGAATCAGAGTTTATAAAAAAATACGGGTTATTGCTATTTAAAAACCGTATGACCGATGTGATATTAAAATTTGCTTACGGCAATAAATGTAGTAAATATTGAAGTTAACGAGATTATACCTACTCGCGTGTATAATATAAAAAAAAAAATCTAAATCATTTTTATCATTTTTACTAAAAGTCTTCGGTGATTCGTGCTAAAAGTATATCTGTATCCAACGTTGGAACATTGTTTCCAGTTAGGGTTTTCGATGTATTTTGGTGCCCGGCTCTTATTTGCTTTTATATTATGTAAAAGTCCAAAACGCACACCGCCGTACCAGTGTTGTTTTTGGTTGATCGAACGTTTCTATTCGGTTTCTTCGAAAATATTTCGAAAAACTTATCATACTTGTCATAACTCAGAAGTTTGTTAAAAGATACGACGAGTTTTCATCGCAAACGCATTAAACACACTCCTCGAATGTGACTAACTAGATAGTAGCACGTTGTTCAATGATAATACTATAATAGGCAAGTGGTTACTTGAATTTATAGATATTGAATGGTTATCATTGATGGCTACTTATCAGTTGTATGCACGTATCAATAAGTGCAATCAAGCTTAATTATTATCAATAACAACCCGTCCCATACGTTCTCTTTTCAAAAAGAAGTAAGGGTACGCTAGAATATCTAAAAAATGAGTTGTACTCAGTCCCCCTGCGTCCATACTTCCCCCGAATTGGACACTGCATATAAGTACCAAGCTACAGGTAATGTATTTGCCATAATTTGAATTTTATTTTTTCAACTCAAAATAAAATATACATTTTAATATTCAAAAGTATTCAGTAACAATTTGCAATACTCGTATTTTTATTATTTAGTAGTTATTACGTCCATCCCATAATTTCTATTCAATAATATTATGTCTATTTACTTAAAAATATGTATGATATCTTGGGGAAGAAACTATTTGTTTTATGGTTGATGACATGACCGATCATAATATAAAAACCGAATGGCAAAAAAACTATTAGAAAATGTTGAGTTTGAGGACGATGAAGTCAATTCAAACACACAAAAAAGATATCTATTAAAAATTGATGACGTTACAGAACTTTTTTTTTAAAAAAAATACCTATTGCATTATTGAGGAATAAATCTAAAAACTTATCCCGACGGTCCCAACTGAACATAAAGTTCTTAAATCAAACTCCAGACAAACGGCCAAATAACGACAGTTATTTAAAAGCCAAAAACAACATTTGAGCGGCATAATAAATGATGCAGCCGAATGTGGGGTCAAGTCGATGGAAGATTTTATCACAAAATGTATAAAAAATCAAAATCAAAAGTAGTATGTATTGGAGATA